TAGTGTTTGATTTTTTTTTTTTTGTAGACAGAGAATAGGGAATTTCAGAATTTTTACATACATTTTAGCAAACAAGTTTTATCTATTGGCTTCTTGGTGCAGTAACGCAACGGCAATCCCTCCTGGTGCCAAAGGCTCATACTACTACAAGGAAGCAGTGAACACTAATTTCTTAGGAGGTGAGGCCAGCCCCACAGGAACTTCTCTTGCATCCCTCTGGTCCACCATGATTCATAAATACTTAGAATTATTCCCCCCCTCAAATGAATCATTAGACGTTAAAAACGGAACAACAGTCACAAAGGGCCACATGCTTTTCAGCAGAAAGCATTCTCCTTCACTAGGTGGCTATCACAGTGCAGACCTGACTGCCTGAATATATGCTCAGGTGGTTTAGTCAATATTGTCTGTATTTGGTTATGGAAAAGGCTCTCATTTTTTAAAAATCCAAAGTGCATAGTGAGAACAAATCAAAGCATTTTCCTTTTCTTTTTCTTTCCAGCATCAGTTGCATCTAAGCATCTCCCTAAGCGAGGACCACTCAGATGCTTGCCCTTGTCCTCCCCGCCCTCCAAAAATAAAAATAAAATAAAATAAAAAATAATAAAAAAGTCAAGCAATTTAGACATTCATCAGCCTGGTAAACAAACTTTGCCAGCAAATAGAAGTCCTACTATTGTAAAGAAAATTGATAAGACAAAAAGTACATATGATGACCCAACTACTGTGTTGTTGGGTAATTTATAAGGTTGACCTCCGACTTCATTGATGTAAAATCCTATTGGAAATATTAGGGCAGCCATACAGAAAAGGATCACTGTAAAACAAACCAAAACACAACATTAGTAACATGGCTTGGTGATTAGGAAAACAATGAAAATTTGGCACAAAGGAAGTTTATAAGAGGGGTTGTGGATTGATAACATGGTCAAACCTGTTAAAACGTAAATCACTTGTCAAAAGATTTGCATATACTACAGATCACATAATATTCCTAAAGCCTAATAATTAAATTCCGTGAAAGCTGGGTTAGCCTTTTGAGACAATTTCAAATATCAGCATTAAGAAATGTCCCCAAACATACCAAGTACCGCATGCATTATTCTTGACCATTTAAACGATGATTAAGGGCTAAATTCAGGCTGTGCTACTTACTAGCTGTGCAATCTTAGGCTTCGGATTCCCTTCTGAAAATGGAGTAAGTACCAGAAGTATAAACAAACATTATTGAGTCCCGGGCACAGTGCCAGCCACTCTGACAGTAAGTGCTGAATAAATGTTGCATATGTATGTCATCAGAGTTATTACTCTTCCAATTCTCTGCTCCTCTCAGTTGGTATTACAAGGAGTTGGAGAAAGGGTACATACAAGTACCATTTACCTTACTCTGACTTAAAGTCAGCTAGCGGGTGGCCAGCGCTGCTCAGCGGCTGAGCATCGACCTATGATGCAGGAGATGCAGGTTTGATTCTGGGTCGGGGCGCATGCCCGGTTGCGGGCTCGATCCCCAGGAGGGGACGTGCAGGAGGCAGCCCATCAATGACTCTCTCTCGCATCATTAATGTTTCTCTCTCTCCCTCTCTGAAATCAATAAAGATATATTTTTTTAAAAAACAAAAAAATAAAAATAAAGTCAGCTAGTGGGATGATTAGCCAATTGTCAAGTGGTTACCTCTTATCATAGACAAAGTTCCCTTCCATAAAACCAACCTCCGTCAGGTCTGTGAATACACACAAGTGGGGGGAGTGGGAAAACCTTTGAGTTTTGTATAAAAACACAATGAAATCTAATTATTTGCTAAAAATGTTTCTACAAAAATATCAGAAAACCCATTGTCTGGGTAGAAGTAATTCCACAGGTTTAGCAAACAGCATGCTCTCCTGTGCTACCAAAGATACGTTCTTCTGAGCAAATGCGAATTGCCTAGAGATAGGCTAGTTTTTCCAAGAATAGAGTTTATGCTTTTTGAAAGTACATTGGTAAAATGTGAATAGTTCTTCAAAATTCTTTGGAGGCAGAAACACTTCTCAGTGTAATGTGAAGATAGATTACTATCTTCACTGTATATGAAGAGTTGAAGCTTTCCATCATTATCTGAATGAGAAAGAAACCTTTTCCAAGTTAGACCTATCCCCAGGAATAGTGAGAGAGTCCTGGATAAACATATCAGCGGCACTGGTCTTAAATTATTTTTGTGTTTAGTCAATCAACAAAATTTAATAGAGTCCTTTAAAAGTCAATTGGAGTCTTTTGCTGGAATAGTTCCAAAAATGTATAAAAAAGTAACATTTTCTCAAGTAATACACTAACTCTAGACATACACCAGCACCCTTGTTTGCTTTGCACTATTTAGGTAGATTATTTTATACTATACAGACAGTCAGTCTATCCCATTTTGGGCAAATAACCACACCAACTAATGTTACATAAGCACATTTGGGTTCTTTTGGATACCTACAACAGAACAAATAAAAAATCCAGTAATTAAGGGTTAGATCTTTTTGTCCTTCTGTTGTATAGTCAGTAATAAATAAATTCATCAGTGCTGCCAATGTCCACTTATCAGTATCATCTGTCACCAACTTCTAATGATTCCTATGCCTTAATATGGTTTGTTAAGTAAAATGAAACCACAATCTAAGTAGCTATACATAATCTATAAAAACAATGGGATACGATTAGTTTTAAAAACAACTTGTTTCTTAATAACTAATCTAATCTCAAAAACTAAAATAATTTAGAAATGTTCCAGAAATAATTTAGAAATATGCAGATATAGTTTATTCTGTTAACTGATATGCTGACTTTATTTCTAAACTTTCATATTTTCTATTGTAAAATAAAAATCTGTCCATTATAATGGAGTAATTATTTAATGATTATATTTAAAGTAGAGTTTAATACTTTACAAGACTTAATTATTTTCCAATTGGTTAGGAAAAGCTTAAGTAAATTTAAAGGAAGCAATGAACTCCTATTCAATCTAATTTTGGTTTTTAATCCAAAGAATTAGGGTTTCCATACTTCCCGGGGATATTTAATGTGGGTAGATGATTTTTTTTTTAAGCTATTGAGACCTGTGAAGTTACCTAAGATCTTAAAATACTAATGCTGATAATATCTATCAACTTTAGACAATTAAGTTCTGGGTCCTAAATGAACCTATAAAGACATAACTTCATGTTCGCCACGGTGGTGAGAGTGAGGTATCAGATGCACTGGTAGATGAGGCTGTAAACTAGGGTGGCAAAGGGCAAGGGTCAGGCTTGAAGAAAAAGACACATCTTTGTCACCCTTTCGCCCCACAGGCCAGCCCTACCATGTGCGGCTCTCCTCTGAGAGATTCCCCCACCGTGTAAAGCCAGCAGAAAATATTACCCTCACATTCTTACCAAAACTACAGCTTAACTGGAACAGAAATGTATACAGTAGAGATCATGATATACAATAGTACATTTTCAAAGGCTGAATGGAAACACTAGGGGGAGCCCAATCCCTCTCAGGACTGCCAACCCAGAGGACTAGCTCTGGTAACAAAAAACAATGTATTTAAGGAAGCCAAAAAGTAATTAATGCATGCAGTTCTACGCTTACTTAGATGACATTAATTCCAAGATATATTCTTGAGCTAAAAAAACCCAACAAGGTACAGACTAGTATAAACAAAATAAATATACAGTTATAGAACACTCATATATATGTTTTTATGCCTAGAGCACCTCTGGTAGGACGCCCTAGAAACTAGTAACAATACTTGCCTCAAGGGAAAAGGTATTGGATACCTGGGTGACAGAGCCACAAATGAGACTTACTTTTCACTTGGTGACCCTTTCATAAACTCTGAATTACGTATTATATGCAAATTATTTAAAAAACTTAAATTATTTTAGAAATAAAGGAAAACCCCACTGCATGTGTGGGTAGCTACATATACTTAAATATCCTCTACTGAAGGGAAACAAAAAACAAGATAATCATAGTTCTTTCCCTTTACTGGGCCACAAGAAACAATGGCTCGGTGAGCATCTTAACACTTTTTTTGACTCCTACTAGTTTGCTAAACTATGTTCGAGATTTTTTCATATTCATGCTTATGCATTCCCAAATTCCAACGAAAACCCAGAAACTATACCCTCCTTCTCTGATTTTACATAAAGAGTGGGTGCTATCTGAACAAGTGGCTGTGCCTTGTGAATAGAGATTCTCTTAAATTCCTCATCAATACCCTTTAATTTAGCAGCGCTGTCTCTATAACTGCCTCTGGACCCAGCTATCTAGAAAAGAACTATCTTGGGAGGTCTGTTCAACTCAAACAAGATCATCACCTTGTCTCACATTTCTTAATAAAGATGGAGATTTTTTTATGTCAAAAGCAACTTGATCTAAATTTTAAAATTCAGGTAGATATAGAGACAAAAATAAAACAGAACCAGAAACATACATTAAGAGAAAGAGTTTCACAGAGAGAGGGAGAGACAGAGGCTCATAAGCTAATATCCTTATTTTAAGGTCTTATTAGGATACATTGAGTTTTAATATGAACGGGGAAATGTGGGATTATGCCTCACCCCTAGCCTTATGAGTTCTAAATAAAAATATCAAGTGCAAGTAAGCTGTTATAATATTCATTTTTTAAAACTCATGCAAACCTAGATGATTTTAGGCATGAATTAAAAGTTAAATCTGAAGTGTGGCATAAGCACCATCACCCTGTACCTTAGAGCAGGGTTTCTCAACAGGGCCCTATTGCCATTTTGGGCCAGAGAAGAGAAGTCTTTGCTGTGGGGCAGTCCTGTGCATTTGCAGGATGTTTACAGCATCCCTGGTCTCCACTCACTAGGCGTCAGTAGCATCCCCCTACTTGTGACAACCAAAAAGGTTTTCAGATATTGATAAATGTCCCCTGGGGGCAAAATTGCTTTAGAGAAAAAGAAGAAAGTAGAATTACAGAAACAGCTTTTCTTTGTACATTTTTGTTTCCTTTAACTTGGGATAAGCCTCTGACATTTTGAAATTAAACCAATTCTGAAAAGTACAAAAGAATGTGCAATATATAAATATATCACACCCTTGGCCACTGACTAATAGAGTAAGAAATGTTGAGAAAACTATTAAATAATCAAATGTCATTTTTTCAATGGTCACATACAGCTGACAGAAAAAACTAAAAATCAACGGTATTAAAAAGCACATTAGCACCTTAATCTAATTTACATTTGTTATATTTTCGTCTAGATTTATCTTTATTTGATAGAAGATACCAATACCTTCAAGAAGAAGAAAAGACTCAGGTTAGTGGTAGCTCTGAGTCAAAGACCCAGAACACTCATGTCACAGTGTAAGCAAAAATAAAATTCATTAAAATAGCATTTCATACAAAGCAATTAAGGTTTTAGACGTCCTGGTCCTGTGATGAGAATTCTGAAGAAGCGATGGGGCTGTGCAGTGTATCTGGCGGCACACGCACGTGGCGCTCTCTGACGACTATGGCGTCCTTATCACTGAGTCTTGGTCATCTTCACACAAATACCAGTGTGCAGCCTTCTAGACTAATTACTAGCACAGGTTACTTACTTCCAGTGAACGCTATCCATCGAGCATATTTGGTAGCTTCTCTTCGCCAGTGGGAAGCCACTAGCAAGCCACATGTGACAGTCAATGAAATGATTCCCATGATGATGAAAAACAGTGTGGTGACCCACTCCGGAGGAAGCCGAGGTGGGATGCACGTTCGGTCTCGTCCATGGATTGTTTGACACTGTCGCACAAGGCCCACAGTGAGTGCTCCTGGGGGAGATGCAAAAGGTGGGAATGTTTTAGTGGGTTTGGCACACCCAGGGGACATTCCCTACCAACACCCCTCTACAGAAAAACTGTATTTCTCTCTATGCGGGTCATTCAAGCACTTAATTCCACAGAGTCCTGCTCTTCAGCATTCTGCTATAATTCATAAGGTAGTAATGCTTGGCTTAACATAAAAAGTGAACTTAAAAAAAACACTCACAAAAGCCATTAAAAGGCAGCTCATTTAATCATTCATTAAACAAATACTTTTCCGAGTACTTGTGTCATGCACTATTGCTAGGCTCCAGGAAAATAACAGTGAACAAGAGAGATGAGGTTCCTGCTCTTGCTAGCAGAAAGAGCCGGAACTTTTGTTTCCCCAGATCCAAGACTCATTGTATATTATTTTATTTTGGTTAAGGAGAAAAACACTTCTCAGGAAATTGAAGGCAAACTTAAAATATGTTTAAGTATAATATACAAGTAAAATTAAATAACTATAACCAATAACTAGAATTAAATAACTAGAATTAAATACTAGAACCAATATATTTTATTAAAGTTAAAAGGTCCTAGCAAATTACAGTATAAGTACTTTTCCATTATATTCAAGAAAATGTTGAAAAAACTAGTAGATTCCCCCCTTTTGGTAAGTTCAACAATATTTGTAAAATGTATAAGTGCTCACAATCGCCAAACCATCACTAGCATGTTTCAGCAGGAAAGCATGAAGGCCTCCTTCTCATTCATTCAGACAACAAGAAAGTGATTTCTGTAGAACACAAGTACTATTCTATATCAACACATTCTCATGTAAAACCGAAGGAACCTCTCTATCAAATTTGGGGTGATTAATTTGTAGAAACCTAGATAAGGAAGGTGGAAGAGTATTTGATCTCCTTCCCCACTAACAACTGCTTGTTTTCCACTTTTAAGGACAACTGTGAGTGGGAAAATTGCCATGAAAGTACAGGAAGAGAAATTTCTGGAGCCACTGATAACATTATAGATTTCTGCATCTTTTTGGGGTCTTATTTATTTCTTCAGTGTGAACAACAGAGCACTTGCCCTGAACAAGTGGCTTTTTGGAGGACAGCAGTAAACTCACAGAGGCATTCTGGGAGGCTGCCCTGAGGGAGCAGACAGACCAGGGTGTGTGTGCATGCAGACATGTGTGGGGTAGTGGGGCTTTCCCTCAACATGTGCTTTGCCACTGATACATTTTTAGAAATAAAACAATTATGTTCAAGAATATGAAGAGAAAAAAAAAATCAGCTCTGCTCTCAAAACTGAGTTGTACTCTTTTTTTATTCTTCTACCGAACTCTGACTCTACCTCTTTCAGGAGAATGAAAGATGGTAACTCAAGTTGTACCTTTTTCCTCTCAAAATCAGCTCTAATAATTAGGCTCATCTTGTGCCGTCCAGAGCAACAGCAAGACAGTATGGGATCATCTCCGGCAGCTGGAGGTGGGGAGGAGTAGAAAGTGAGCTAACCTTCACATTAATGCCACGTGCTATCCCTCCTTTTAGCTGCTGCTTAGAGTTGAGTAATTTCATAGACCAAAGAGACATAAATCAGTTCCAAGTTTCTGACAATTGCTAACCTTTAAAGTATCATGGCAAGAGCTAAAAACTGGAAGAGGGAAGAGGAGGGGTAAGCACCGGGGAGCTACAAAACTGTTCTTAAAACACTAAAAAGTTTCCTTGAAAAGAAATTGGGGGAGAGGGATTGTCTTATTATGATAAAGCATTTTATTGTAATTTTGGAAATAAAGAAGGCTTTCACAGCAGTGCTCAAGAACCCCTAATAGGAAACTACTCCTATCATTCAGCAAAAGACCTCTAACAAATTAACCTCGGCAGTCACTATCCCATTTATAAAAGCTGCTATTGCTGTAACAATAAACAGGCAATGAAAGACCCTCTGACAAAATGCGGTATTGTGGATTCTGATGACAGCCCATCTCCTAACTGGCACACCACACCACACCAATACAAAGAGAGCAAGTCAGAAAATGAAAATTAGAGCTATGCCTTCTACAAACCAAGTGGAAATAAATGACCTGACAGATGGTCAGCTATAAAGAAGAGTTATGCTTCTGTAGTGACAGAAGTCCTTATCACAAGTCAAGACCAAATATTCAGCAGCTGCATTCTGAAAGAAAAGAAAACTAATGCTAACAGACAACCAGAAGGCACACTGTATATTAGAAAATCAATTCACAAATATTTTACTGAGTGTCTTTCACGTGCTCAGCATTGTTGCAGTGGTCAGGGATTCCAAAACTAATACTGCCATACTTTCACTGAGAATAGACTTTCCTTAAATACATTATACAAGGGCTACTGCAAATAGTGGTCTGTCCATATTGTGGCTAAGATTCATTTTCCTGAGTAAGGCTCTAGGTCAATATAATTTATATCATACTCACATATTTTCCATAAGCTGTCTGGGGAAAAGGATCTGCAAAGGCAATTGTGCTGCTACTACTGAATCTTCTAAATTCTGGTCCTGTTAGTACCCAAACTTTCACCAGCTCTTTAAATTTCATCTTTTACCTCAAAAAATTATCTCCTGCTTGTAGATTCAAATCCATTTCTTACACTGACTAGTCAAGATCTTTTACATCTTCCAAATTCTCTGAACACATTCAAGTTTGTATCACACAATGGTGCACTTGATTTAAAGTAGCTTCTTTTCACCCCAAAACAGAAAATGAGCTTTTCAGGAAGGAACTGAACCTTCTACTTCATTGGAAACCTCCAGAAGGGCCTGCAGCAGTGGGCAAAAGCAGGAATTAATAAGCATTTGGTGAACCTAGGCAAGTAAGAAACATGCTAAATTTATTATTTATTTATTTAAATATATCTTTGATTTCAGAGAGGAAAGGAGAGGGAGAGAGATAGAAACATCAATGATGAGTCATTGACTGGCTGCAGCCCGCAACCCAGGTATGTGCCCTGACCGGGAATCGAACCCCGATCTCCTGGATCCTAGGTCAACGCTCAACTGCTGAGCCAAGCCCGGCTGGCCATGCTAAATTTAAAATCATGCTGTATTAACTAGGTTCTCCTGTAGAACTGTCATAGTGTGATTTCCTGAAGCACACTAATTCAGCACAAGCTCAGCCAGTCACTAATTTTTGTTTTACCCAACAAATCTTTTGCTTGTCAAAGGGCCTATAATTCCATTTCCCAGACAACCAATCCATTTTTCATCCTGCAGCTGTTTCCTAGGTAACCAATCCAGTTGAATAAAAGACTTGCACACAATAGAAAAAGGAAGCTACACTAGGAACTGTAGCATCCCACATGTGTCTCAGTATCTCATCTGTGTATTATAACACACAATAGGAAGTCAGGTAGCTTAACTAAAGAGGTTTTGACACTCATCTTCTAGAGATCCAGACACTGTGGAAATGATCTGGCATGGCCAGTCTGAGCATGTCTGTTGCCATAATGAGGATGATTATAAGGCATGTATGTCATCACTACATGTAAAAGCTGTCACAGGAAATCTGAAACAAGGGGACTGTAAAGCAGAGAGGCACACCCACCCACCAGTCTGTCAGCAAATCGTGTGGTAAGTGCTCCCCAGCCTGGCCACAGAGTGCAGTGGGATGAAATGGTTTCTCTTTTTTCCTTTTCATTGAATTTATTGGGGTGACACTGGTTAACAAAATTATATAGGTTTCAGGTGCATAATTCTAATGAGCAGTCAATTCCTAGTAGTACTGAGGATCCCTTGTACAAGAGAATTCTTTTCCTCTCCCTGTTGTTTTCAAGACTTTATGTCTTTGGCTTTCGACTATTTGACTATGGTGTGCCTAAGTGTGAATTACTTTGAGTCTATTCTACTTGGAATTTGTTAAGATTTTTCAACATGCAGATTAAAGTTTTGCATCAATCTTGGAGATATCTGGGCTACTATTTGCTTAAATATTCTTTCTGCTGGAATACTTGACAATGTCTCATGGGTCTCTCATGCTTTGTTTTTAAATTTTTTCTGTTCTTCAGATTAGTTATCGATGACTAAATTGATGTCTTCAAGTTTGCTGGTTCCTTCTTCTGCCAACTTCCATTTCAGTTATTGTACTTTTCAACTCCAGAATTTCTATTTTCTCTTTCTTTGTCATTTAAAATGTTTTTAAAAATTTGATTTTAGAGAGAGAGGGAGGAGATAGAAACATCAATGATGAGAGTCATTAATTGGCTGCCTCCTGCATGCCCCCTGCTGGGGAGAGAGCCCAAAACCCCGGCATGTGTTCTGACTGAGAATTGAACAGCGATCTCCTGGATCCTAGGTCGATGCTCAACCGCTGAGTCACGCTGGCTGGTCTCTATTTTCTTTTTCTAATTCCCATCTCTTTATTAGATATTCTCTATGTGGTGAGACATTGTTTTCTTATGTCCCTATAATTCTTTACAGGTGGTTTCCTTTATTTTTGGGAACATAATTCTCACAGCTGACTTAAACTCTGTCTAGTAAGGCCAATGTCTGGATTTCCTCAGAGGCAGTTTCTACTGACTTATTTTTCTTGTGTATTGGCCAAACTTCCCTGTTTCTTTATGTGCCTTGACATTTTTAGCTGATAACTGGAAATTTGGAATAATACAGTGTGGCAACTGTGCATATCATATTCCTCCCTTTCCTGGTGTTTACTGTTGTTGCTGTTTGTCTTCCTGACTTTCCTAGAATAGCCCTGTAGTTTGTACTCATTGATGTGTGGCCTATGAAGCCTCTGTTCCATTAACTTAATAGTCAGTTAGTGGCTGGATAAGGTTTCTTTAAATGCCTTGAATCAATGTCTCTCAGCCTGAGCTATCTGTGTCTGCTGTGGTACACTTTCAGTGCTCCAGCAGGTGATGCCTTCTTACTCACTTCCTGCTTGAGCAGAGCCACAAGACCAGCTAGAAGTAAGGGTGAGGGCTTTCACAGGTCTTTCCTGTTGATCTGACAATTTTTGCTAGTCGTCTTCTTGTGTTTATGGAGAAGCAGATTTTCAGAAGTCCCTTCTCCACTATCTCAGAAGTTAAACCCAACAGGTCACAATTTGAATCTCAGCTCTGCCACACTTGTGCAAGTCACTTAATCTTTCTAAGTCTGCACCAGCAGGAAAATAATATGACTTACCATTTAGGTTTCTGTGAGAATGAAATAAGATAAAACTTGTAAAGCAATTGTAACTATAAGCACTGAATAACTATTGCATTCTTTCAGGGAATTATATATTTTGGTTTTAGTTAAAAAAAATACAGGAGTAGACACAATAATTTAATACAATGGTATACTCATGAAACTCACATTCCAAAATAAAAAGGGTGATGGTTGCTAAGGGGGCTAGTCATAAAAAGTAATCAGGACATGACTTCCCTGCCCAACTGCTTTAGTACCTCGCTCAGATTGAAGATTAAGCACAAGTTAAGTTCAGATTTGCTGAAATAAAGGCTCTGGGGACAGATTTTATAGGAACAGTAATGCTGAAAA